AAAAAAAAAAAAAAAAAAAAAAAAAACATCAGCGAATGGTATATGTTGAACCCACACCATGTACCAACTGGCCTAGCTCAGTTGGTGGTACACCCATGAACTGATGAAATGCAGACTTGAGTTCAAATTCCAATGGAATCAGATGAGTGAGCATAATTTTCAATTTACCTGGGGCCCGTCTGTTCAAACCTCAAGAACGTCTGTGGCAGACCCACCGGGTGAGGTGCACCGCCTGGGATAGAGATGGAGATGGAGGATGAGGGTGGAGCATGATGACACAGCGCAGCTCCCGTGCAGACTCCAACGCACGTACTCCAAACTGTGCGAATGTAGAATGACCCAAGTACAGACTCTGGCTGGGGTATACCCCGGCGGACTGACTGGACTGGACTGGACTGGCTGGTAACGACAGAGGCCTGGACTGGACTACCTCGAATACAACACAGGCCTGTAGGAACAGGCCAAGGGGCTGGTCTCACAGGCCAACCAGAGGTCCGCTACACGATCCTCGACCTGTGATGGATCGCCTAGATACAAGCACGCTTTCGCCAAGAAGCGGAACTTGACCAAAGAAAATAAAAGAAAACCCGAGTAGTCTGTGATGTGGAGCAAGCTCCATGCTGAGTCCATGCGATGCAACCTAGGCTAGAAAATGTCACAAAAGCAGCAATGTCAAAGCTAATAGCCTAAGTGAAAGCATAAGGTAATGACAACTAAATCCTAGAATGTCGGAGGCAGTAGCCTCAGTCTGGAAACAACTGACTAGTGTACAAGTCCTAAGAACAGTCAAAGCAAAGACAACTAAATCCTAGAAATGTTAGAGACATAGGTCTCAGTCTAAGAGCAACAAAACAATAACAAAACAACTATATGTCACAGGAAGGGTGTGTCGCAAACCACAGGGTGGGATGGTCTCTGTGGGTGGCAAATGCAACCTAGGGGTCGATAAACTCCTAAGGACATTCACACATAATGACAGGGAGACACATGTCATCAGACTCAATGGGGGTAGGGAACTGGGAGCAAACAGAACCAATGACCCTAACAGATAGACCATCAGGGCGGGTAATGCTCAACCGAAGGGGTGACCGCTATGTAGGGTCGTCCATGTAAGGGAATAAGGGAGCCTGGTATACTGGGCGCACCTACATGAAGCATGCAAGGCTGCCTAACTAGGGCGTGACGGTCGACAGAGGGTAAAAAAAATGATGGGTAAAGGAATCGTGCAAATGACTCCTAAGGTGAGGGAAGTCGGAGCTAGATCCGTAAGCTGGGAAGTCAAAGCAACGCTACGGTCCCGATGCCTATGCGTATACCAAAGGAGAGCCCAACTCAGAGGAACCCGACTAAGGGAGACCATCAGGTGACACAACCAGGGTACTGTACAGGGTAAAGTGGTAAGAGAGTGACGACGTCTGAAGTAGGCAGAGTTGATCGTGACGAAGTCCGTGAAGCTTCCAATAACGCCCATGAAGAGAAATCTGGAATGTCGTTGAGGAAGAGCCGCAACGTCGACGAGCTGAAGTATTAAAACTGGAGTGAATGAAGTACTGAGAAGTCAAAGGCGTGAGAAGATAAGTCAGAGTCAATCGTTGTATCGAGCAGGAGGACGACGAGTGCGTTGTGGACGCTCAGAAGCATCCGGTTGTTGCTGAAGGTCTGCCTCAGATAGAGCAGGCTCGACTTCAGCGGTCTCCTCAACCGAGGGAGAAGGAAGAGGGTCAGTGGGCTGAGGAGAACCAGTCAACCCAGCATAACGAGCACAGTCATAGGCACGCACCAACATGCGAGCGTGCTGCAAGTGCTCGAGGGCCTCCCAAGTAGACTCCTCATCAGGGTAACCCTTCCAACGTACGAGATACTCGACGTGAGGAGGGTTGTTGTCGGTGACTCGGCGGCCAATGATGTCTGAAACGAGGAATTCCTCGTGGCCGTCCACCATGATGGGTGGAGGGCGCTCGTATGGTCGTCCAACGAAACATTCGGACGGTCTGCGGTAGGGACGTAGTAACGAGACGTGGTAGACATCATGCACACGAGCCTGATGTAGGTAGTCGGGCAGCTTCATACGGAAGCTGGCCGGGATAGATGTCGTATCAGAACCGACGGCCTAGAGAATGCGGCATGGATCAAAGAAGTGATGTCAGAACTTGCGAAGAGTGTCCGCTTCGAGCTGTAAGTGACGGGCGTCGACAAGCACATCATCACCGACTTTGAATGAATGATTCATCCTCGATCGGTTCGCACGTGCGGTCATGCGAGTCTGGGAATCGGTTATATGCTCATGCGAGTCTTTATGATCGACGTCATGTGTGCAACCCAATCATCCAACGCAGGACAACTCGTGTCGGGGTGCAACTGTGATGGTCGAAGGAAGTCCGCGGGAACACGAGGGTGATAGCCGAGGTCGCAATAGTAAGGCGATATCCCCGTGGCTGGCGCGGCGGCATGGTTGTAGGCTATCTCCGCATGGGCAATGGAGATCCCACTGCTGGTCATCACGAACAATCTTTCGAAGAGTATCTCCGAGAGCCTTGTTCGTGACCTTGGTCTGACCATCAGTCTGAGGATGGTAAGACGAGGACAAGTGAAGTTGGGTGTCGTACACCTCGTGGAGTCGTCACCAAAATCGGCTGGTAAAGCGCGGGCCACGGTCAAATATGATGCTCAGGGGTGAGCCGTGGTCATGCACGACTCGGTCAAGCACGATGTCGGCGACCTCACGTGCATTGATGACATAGCGGCATGGAACAAAGCGTGCGCGCTTCGTGAAGCGGTCGACGATGACTAGGATAGCATCATCCTCGCGCGGGGTCGGAGGACGAAGAGAACCGATAAAGTTCATCGAGATGGACTGCCAACGACCCTCAGGGATAGGAAAAGGCTTAAGCAAACCATACCTCCTGACAGGTGGGACACTCTGCGACGTAGTCCTTCACAAAGTCCTTGCGCTTCAGCCAGATGTACAGGCGGCTCACACGAGCCAACGTCTTGTGGAAGCCCATATGACCGGTGGCTGCCTGGTCATGGAACTCTGCTACTGCCCGGACACGTAGCTGTCCGGTGGAGGGAACGCAAATGCGGGGCTCTCTGGTGCCCTGTGAACCGTGCTAGTACACAAGACCGTTGTCCCCGAGAGAGTAGTTCGGGACGGTCTAGCCACTTTGAAGGGTCACATGGATGTCGCGATAGTCGGGGCAGTGGAGGTACTGAGTGCGAAACTTGTCGATCACCGAGTGGTGGATGATGGTGACCGAGATGACAGCGAGCTCGATCTGCTCCAGATCATGGTCCGGCCGTCGGGATAAGGCATGTGCGACCCAATCAGTCTCACCCTTGACGTGTTCAGTGGTGAAACTAAACTCGGATAGGTCACACCACCATCGAGCCTGTCAAGGAGTGAGCTTCGACTTTGTCAGAAAAGCCTGGATAACAGAGTTGTCCGTGCGCACCGTGAATGGTGCCCCGTGTAGGTAGTGACGCCAGTGTCGAGTGGTATAAACTACTGTGAGAACCTCACGTTCATCAACAGTGTAGTTTATCTCGGCGGACAGGATTTGACGAGAGTAAAAAACTATCGGACAATCACCTGAGCGAGACTCAACTGTGTCGTCCTCAACGATGGTAGGAGAATAGTCAATAGAAGGCTCGTCGATAGCTGGACAAGTAGGCGTCAGGTGGGAAGCAATGGTAGGGGTAGGAGGTGGGAAGTGAGGGATGCGAGAATGAGAGGAATCAGGAGAGGAGGGGAAAATTTGAGAAAGCACTACTCTTACAGCAAAGTCTGATGCATCGGTGGTAAGG